AAGAAGCTATTAGTAGAGGTGAGGCACAAGGGCTCTCAGCCTTTTCGCGACCTTCCAGTAGACCACCCGACCCGATACCAAAGAACGGCCCGACACGCTGAACCACAGCAACTTGGATAAAAACACAACAAGTCACCATGGAACAAACCGCTTGCACCTTACACCACAATCCCCACGAACCAGCTGACACTGACACCTGCTGCAATTTGCAGACAACCACACAAAGAGTCAGCAAGAACAATAACCATCAAACAGTCACTACTAATCGTACAGAAACCCGGTGGAAAAAACACTGTGCCGCTGTTTCCCAAGGGTGCTGTGCCAATGCACGGCCTACAGGACCTTGTGAAGCTGTGGTAAGTAATCTGATCTTTTCGGCAACGAGATCCAACGCCTCAGCTGATCTGAACACTTCGACATCCGCTTCAACATGATGAGAACCCTCAGCTTCGACATCCGCGTCGAGTTCCGGGTGCTTCGACGCTTCGAGGAAAAACACGAATGTTTCTGATCAGCTGCACGGGCCAACGTAGCTGCCTCCTCTGAGAATTTCTCAAACGCTTGCTGGAGACCCTGCAAGGATCTGCATGCCTCAAAGGATCCCCCCACATGGACGGGACGGAGTGTGGAGGTGTTGGACATGTGTTGGCGTGGGATTTCAATCAAGACATCAGCCAAAGACCACATTCAACATGTCCAACACATGTCCCAGCCAACATCATGTCCAACGTGTGTTGGTGTGGGATTTCAAGCATTTTCAAGTGAAGCCTCATGTGATCAACACTCCTGCAACATTCAGCCTTGCGGACTGCTTCGGCTGAAGACGCTTCAGCATCTGCGACTGCACCTGGCCTCAACCTGAGAAAGGACATGTGGTACTCAAGAGCATTGAATCTGCAAACGACCACCGCCTGTGTCGCTTGGGTTGACCTCGAGCTCGTTGTCGCGAGGCTTTTGGACTTGGTGCACAGGACTGAGCCTTGCGACGAAGTGAATGGTCTAAATGATGCAGTGAAGAGAATTGAGAATGACTTCTCCAAATCAGCCCATCTACCAGTTTGCGCCTCTGGCATGTCCACTGAGTTCTTTGAAGCATGCTGTTAACTCTGATACGTCAAACATTTATCTGCTGAGTACTGTCGTTTAAGTTTGTGCTGAAAGGAAGATGCAAAAAGCCTGCATTCCATGGATTGGTATGGGAAATCAAGAAATAACTGTCCAGCCAGAATTTTGTGAGTTATTGCAGTTAGTATTCTGTGTGTTGAAAGCTCAACATGTCATTGAATGCTATAAATAGCAATTCACACAAATCACAAGACAATGGAGCTCATGCGTGGCATATCAAACATCTTGTATCAACCCATCAAAGCTTCCTCCGCCAACCACACCATTTTTGTCAAAGCAATCAATATCTGAGCACACAACACTTGCACTGCTTTGGTGCATCTACTACCTCCTCGCATCTATCAAGACCTTGCAGAAAGGATGGGGAAAGCAAAAATACGTTGGATACTGAGCCCAAGATCAGTTCATCCAACCCCTAGTCATCCACGGGCAACCTGTGTTGACTTTAGAGCTTACTATTGAAACTTCACATCTGGACTGAGGCTGGCCGGGCCTGGCCCCACTCCAGCAAGTTATCTCAATCATTGATTGTCAAAGCCAAAATGTGAACCATCAGCTCAAAAGAACCGTGCCTCTCCACTCGGCCGGAAAAGGATACGGCACCAGCGGCGACCAACACAATGAGCAAGATTGTGAGACTTCCATCAGCTCCCCTGGCAAACGTTCCGAAACATGACTCCTGTCTTGGTCTTGAGTGCGGAACACCCTTTTCAGGAGATCAACCATCCATCAAATAATATTGTTTGCTTGAATGTGTTAGTCAACCTTTAATGAAGGAGTATGTATCCCAACGCCAACGAGAGACTCTGCAAGACCCTGCCCCTTCTCAGGCCAGTGAGAGACTCTACGTTACATATCCTACACAAAATAGTGGCTCAATCCAAAAAGCGGATTAATTACAATACATGATAGGAACTCTATTTACTTTTGTGTCATGCGCAGTTAGGACGGAGCTAGAAGCATAAAAGCTCTCCAGGCGTACACGTCTGGCACTGCAAGTTCAACTTCAACTGCCTCCTGCAAAGCTTTGGGATCGTGCTGTAGCATAAGCCTAGTAGCCCTTTCACCTCACAGTCTTGTCATGCAAAGTCAATCACGACAGTGGTCCTGCTCTTTGTCAGGCGCCGCAGTTTGTGGCTCCTGCTTAGTCGCTTGCTTGGGCTGAGTAAGTTAAACAAGAAGTTAACAAAAGAAACAGTGACTCCGTTCCAGTAATTTACAGTAGCTACTCTTCTGTTCATTGCTTTAGTAAGACTTAGTCGACTTAGTCGATGGGTAATTAACCTAGTTCTTTCAAGAAGAGTCTCTCCGTCTTCCATTGCTGGAAGTGCACTGCTTCTGGCCTTGACAATCAACGGAGGAGCAGGTGGAGCAAGCGGAGCAGGAGCAGGCTGTTGCTCAACCTCCAAGGGAAATTAGAAATCATCAAGAATCCAGCACGTTCTCTTCGACTTCCTTCCTTAATCCTTCAATTCGATTCCGAGCCTTTGGTCTTGACGCTCGAGCCATGGGAGGCCTGGGAGCTGGTGGGCTCACAGGTGGAGCTCGCTTCGGCGCCTGCGCCGAATCTGACCGACAAAGTGTTTTCGAAATGGGTTTTTGCTCGACCCACGGGTTCATTCCCACTGTCGCAGTTTCTGAACTCTAGGGTATTCTCAGGCAAGCTCAGATTCAAGAAGCCAAGTGGACAGATGGACTCCGGATGGAGCATGAAAGACATGGAATTAATCAAAAAGAACGAGAGCCCAGCCTGTGTGGTGGTTGGTGCAGGGATCCGCTGTCCCATTGCTTCCAACAGAATGGCCTTGCACACCAATCGCTGTGCTAAACACATGGTAAAGGGGGCACCTTGAGTAGCATTCTTCTAAGCACACTCCCTAGCTCAAACACCCACCGCAAGTAGTTGTCCGTGCCTCCTGATTGCAGTCTCCAGGTCCAGCAATGGCCCTGTCTGCTCTGGCCAGATGTGATCTGTACTCCTTGCACACACAAAAGACATGTATAAATGGAACATAGCTTGGTATGATCATAGTTGGAACAGCCGCAAATCCACTTCCACTTCTTCAGAATTCATGGACATTCCACGCTTCTTTGTGACCCTCCTGCAAATGGCACCAGTACAAATCTGGCTGAATCTGGAAGGCGGTAAAGTAAGCACATCCCCTTGCTTTGGAGCACCTCGCCTGCAAAATTGTCCGCTTTGTCATGCATTAGGGGTTACTGCAACTCTGCCAGGGTTCAGGTCATTTCAAGTGACCTGTATGTGTAACCCCTGCCCTTGCAATGCCCCTTCTTCTGCTCTTGTTTCCTCTTTTCGGTCTGAAACCATGAGGCGACACATTGACTGTCTACATGTGGGTGTGAACGGACATGATTTACTGTACCACATACTCTATGACAGGTGCTCAAGCCCTCACTTGTTTGCTTGCTCACTTGCTTGGCTGCAGCATGCAGTGATGCTTGTTACTACAGTACGGATGAAAACCCCGCCCGTTATGTGGAAGCATATGTCATGTCTGTAGGATGAGTGGGGTCTGGCGCGGTCGATGGTGAAACCTCCCTACCCTTCGGAAGGCTAGCGAGCGCACGTGATTCTGCTATGAATTCTGTCATTAGGAGTGATCGGACGCTACTAGGAGCAAAGGGCATCGCTACTAGGAGCAAGGACACTACTAGGGGCTCCTTGCCTTACTACTAGGAGCGATCGGACGCTGCTAGGAAATAACTTCCATGGGATCCGTCGTCTCATTTCTTTGCTTACAGGTGCCAAGCGCGTTCCAAATGGTCCCGGGTTCGATTCCCCCTCCCCAACACACCTCCTCCAATCCCTTCATCTATAGTTTTCTTGGATGTTTCCCTAACGGTGTCTTATGCTTTCCTCGGGTTTTCTAGTCTTATCCTTACTGTTTTCTTGCGCTTACTTATGGGATTCTGGTGGATTTTGAGAACAACATGTGGAAGTGATTGCGTATGAGTTTCACGCATGGAGAGACACCGCTCTTGCTTTGACCCCCCTGAAATTGTACCTTTGGGTTTCAACAACATGTGGGGTGCTGTCGACGTGTACACAACGACACCTGGCAAATACATAGGAAACCACCACCCTGGTCTCTCGCACCCTCGGCCACTGCGGGTACATCCTCACTTGAGCCGTACGCTTGTGTTCAATCACTTTTCAATCCTTTCATGCCTTTGCACCCCCCCATAGAAAGGTTCACGACCGAGCGGGCAACGGTAGCAGCGCCATTCTCCGTGCCACCGACCCTGTTTTCCATGCACACACCCGTCCTTCCTTCATGTCCTTCCCACATATATCTATCTATATATATATATATCAGAATACTCCCGCCATGAGCCATGACCCTCTGTTTCTCACCGCGTACCCTCCTTCCTCCCGTAATCACGCGCTTCCGGTAGCCTTTTAAGTATACACATGTGTACGACGCGATATTGATCGATATTGTCTCATACAGTCTACCGAGCACAAGCTCAACATATCAACGGTTTAGTGCTCCCCATCCAAGAGCGCTAAGTCTTCAAGCAGGTTTGGTGATGGTATCATCCAAAGAGTACAACAACAATCATTGCGACTTGAGAAGCTGGTGATAGGGCGGATACAGGTATCGGAAACCGTTCTTTTGTATCACTGTATCACAGTATATAATTGTTCCAAGGTCTTTTTTACCAAGCAAAGCCAAATGCATGCCAGGTAGGTTTGCTTTCCTAACAATTCGTGTGGTTATGACCAAGGTGACCAAGCTATTGCCTATACTTAGATGCGGATGCTGTGTTGCCCAAGCAACTCTATCTAAATTCAATGTGCATACACACAATGTGTGAGAAGTGGAAGGCATTGTCCACTGGAGACTACCCAGTACCTGGACTTAGGCTATGTCGACATGATTGTAACAAAAGCCAGAAAAATGGCCTGGCACTGTTCAGGAGACCTCACCCTGGTTCGCCCATAGCCAGGCATATTCAGGGGCCTGCCACGTTGCAAGCGGTGCTCCATCAAAACAACGGAGACGGGGGTACATCCAGACATCCACAACGATTGCAACTTATCTTACTTATGTTCTGTTATTTTTGCCTCCTGCAACTGGTCGGCTCTAAGTTGAGAGCCTGCTTCTCCACTCCAAATGTACAGTAGCTATTCATTAGAATTGCATAGGACCCCCATCAGGAATGCATTGTAATGCATATCGCGAGTTCAAATCATACTAGCCGGCTCTTGATTAGATTGTTTTGAATGCACCACCAATCCAAAACAGGCCCTCTGTACTCGTACTTGGACTCCAGGAAGAAGCAAGGACTTGTTTGTTGTGGCCAGGACGTCGCGCTATCCTCTACCTCAGAGCGCCAAAGGAATCAAGTCAAGCTCTACAGGGATAATCGAGTGACATGCTTGCAGCGTCGAACCTGTTTTTGTATCCAATTTGCTGTGTACCTTGATTCCTTGATAAGGGTCCAGTCCGCATTTACAGTGTATCAATATCTTTATCACTTGCCACGAATGCACGGAAAGGCTTTCTGTCAAACCAAAACCCCGTTTTGCAGCTCATTCTGCTGTTCTTTCTTTCAGTAACCAGAATGTTCAATAGCAAATGCCCCGAGGAATGGCAGCCCGGAAGAAAAGCAAGTGAGAGAGAGAGAGAGGAAAGAACAACTCAAAGAACAACAACTCACCCAAACGCGACAATTCCCCAGAAGGACGTCAGATCACACTTTGGCAATCGTACAATTAATCGGATGGGCACTTGGACGGGTCAGGCGGCGAAGGCCCGGGACAGGCAAAAGCAAAGGGACATCTGGGATCAGATAGGGTTGTCTGAAAGCATGCCTTTACAACTGAAGTAGCAAACCTTGTTACTACTAGTAACAAGTGCCACGCTAGTAGTAACAAGTGCCTTACTAGTAGTAACAAAGAAGCTATTAGTAGAGGTGAGGCACAAGGGCTCTCAGCCTTTTCGCGACCTTCCAGTAGACCACCCGACCCGATACCAAAGAACGGCCCGACACGCTGAACCACAGCAACTTGGATAAAAACACAACAAGTCACCATGGAACAAACCGCTTGCACCTTACACCACAATCCCCACGAACCAGCTGACACTGACACCTGCTGCAATTTGCAGACAACCACACAAAGAGTCAGCAAGAACAATAACCATCAAACAGTCACTACTAATCGTACAGAAACCCGGTGGAAAAAACACTGTGCCGCTGTTTCCCAAGAAGGCAATCGGTCTGTCTTTAAACCCTTATCATTTTGCAGGGTTTGGACAATGTGTGACATCTCCGATCCAGGTATTTTTTTACACTCTTGGTAATGCAACTGGCAACCTCTAAATTCATGCCAAGGCATTTGCAAAACTTAGGCTCACTGTTCAGCAACTCACTGCAAACATGTTGTGATGATGACTTCAAAGTAGATAGGTGCTCACAAGTGAGCTTTGTATACAAAAGGTTATCGCTTTTGTCATCGTTTTTCTATCGAACTGAGAAGCCAAGCTCGATGAACGCTCAAAAAGCAAACAAACAGCCAAGGGAATGAATGAACATATTTCAAGCCTATTTCAAGCTATGGTGTTCTTTTCTCTTATCATTGTTTCTGGCTTTGATGCAATTCTGGAACCTAGGGACTCAGCAACCTGCAAAAATCACTTAAACCTAGAAAACCTCTCATGCCAAGAGCAGCAACTACTCCTACCAATGTCATTCATGCAATCTCATATCTGCTTGGCTGAGTTCAACAGAATGTCAACATGATCTGCTCCGCAAAGAACCTGGGATTGATTGGTGGGTCAGTCGGTATCGACCCACAATCGACCTGTCTGCATCTAAAACGCACCGAAAGCTTCAAGGGAGAAACGAAAAGGACATTTGAGGTACGCCAACCCCATATTCACAATTGCTGCCAGGGCAGCACATGTTGTCAGCTGGTACTGGAACTAGCAGCCCAAATTAGGGACGAATCCTGCTTTCAGTGTAGATTCCATATTACCCTATTGTGTGATGCATCGTCTCCGCAACAGCACTAGAACCTACCGCCTGAGACCATGGCTATGGTTTCCCATGATGGCTCCTCCACCTGTCTGACTGCAAACTGACTGAGTTGATTCTTAAGGACAACAGCAGCTACAGCGACCCCACCTCAAAAACCTCAACAGGAGATGGGGGCCGTGCATCCTCTTTGTGCGGGCCTTAGACAAGCGAGCTGGTCTCTACTATTTTGCAAAGTTCTTGAGCACGCATCAGAACGCCCTGCCTTCTGTTCAAACCCTTCTGTTCAAACATGTTCAAACTAGTTTCCAGGACCAGTTCTACTATTTGACTTTTGCAACAAGAACTCTTTGCGCTCCCGGACTTTACTATCATTAGTTATAGAAGAGATGTCCAAGGACTGTTCGACTGATAGAAGTTGATGTTGTAGACCGCCTGCCAAAAAGAACAGGCAAGATTGATATGTGTTTTTGCACATGACTTTGTTGAGGGACCGGCCATTGCCGCTTGCACCAAAATAGAATCACAAACACCTGAGATGTGTCCGATATGCTAGAAAGCTGCATGTCGCATGAGGCTCGTTCAAGGCCAAGACGAGCCACAACAGTATGCAGCATCGCAGAATCACCTCTTGATGGCATGGGGCACATGGCAATTACTTAGATGGAGGACAAAAAACAATTCTAATCATGTTATATAGACTGTGTGAAAAGGCCTTTAAAAAGGTTTAACATCCAATAATTGTCTTGTTGGCTACAAGGAATGTCAACCATGATATTTGAGCGTTTGAAACTGATCAATAGCATTCAACAGCCACAATTTCACAACACAGTAACACAGTATCTTCATGCTAACAGGTTTGGCTTCTGATCACAATGCAAATGGGTTGTTTCTACTGACGTTTTGCACATCCTTCGACTTTGCACATACTTCGCTTCCATGTGCTTGACACAAAAAGCCCCAAAAAGGCTACTCAATGTACTACAAGCGTTTCTACTAAACGTTTCGCAACACATGGCAGCTTGGCTAGAATGCCCTTGCTCATTCGCCCTGGACGAAGCTCCGGCTCACGGTGAGGTGAGCCAGAGCTTCGTATAATCAATTGGGTTTGGCTCAAGGACCACGGAAAAGCACTATTCAATAACAAGACATAAGAATTATCTGATTCTAGCAATGCAAATGATCAATTTCAGTCATAAGCATTGCAGGATTGATCTTTTTAGTTGATCCGTGAGACTGTGACACAAGCCTCTTGGCCAAGTGCGCAGAAGTGGCAATTCTGGGCAAACTCGGCCTCAAAGCACACTTAGCGTCATTCAGCGTACGTGTGAACTCGCATGCTAAAAACCAATGCTTTGCCTCCGAAAAATCAAGCTCTACAGCAGGTCCGTTGATGTCCAAAGAGACGTCGCAGCAGTTCCAGTTCAATCTCAATCAGCCTCACCGCCCTCATGGCCTGCCCCTAACACCTGGTTTGTGTCACAAAGTTGGAGAGCATGGGCTATGGCACATCCTATGCCCCATCGGTGGGCAAATGAACTTAGACTCTGATCCACGATGATCCATTAGGCTTGACAAAGTCGTGTTGGGTGGGATTTTAACCACGTATGACGGAGCTGCACCGGTCTCACTTCTGCCCTCATGAGCTCGTCTGGCATGGAGCCCGAGCAGCTCCATCTGACAGGCACTCTCACGGTGAGAATGGACGGGGATCGGCCAAGCAAGATGGTTGGTTGACCGATGACCCAACAGCCTGTCAGGTGGCCAAGCCTGTTGACGTTGCCAGTGGGCACGTCTTTGAAGTGAATGAAAGCTGAGGTCAGCCGCATAGAAGGAAAAACACTTTCGTGCTGTCAGCAACGAGTAGCAAGACCTTCTTGATGACAACTGCCAAAACTGGAAGTGCTTGCTGCTGCGATGGGAGCAATCTGTGCTCACGGGGCTGTCAACATTAGGTAGCAAAAGGAAGGATCCTCAAGCGACAGGTGGCCACCCCAGTTCACCCACCTACTACGAGTCCGTATCCCGTATCCGTATCCCCAAGCACTCAAGTAGCCATCCATGAGTTTCGCACCGTAGCAGCAGGGTGACTTCTGAGTGTCCCCAACAAGCTTTCCCATGCTTCTCAGGCTTATCAGTCTTGTCATCATCTCTCATCCACCAGTGCCAGTGTGATGGGTGCGCCACCAGTCGCCCTCACACCGCTGTCCCACGCCACCGGTCGATCGAAGAGCCGATCGGTGCAGGTGAATCCTGTGCCATGGATCGGTCGAACGCCGGAGCACACTCCTCTGAAGGGAAAACACATGGTCTCTTTCCCCCTGCACACTCCTCTTGCAGTTCCCGGTCACTTCATTCTACCCTCACCTTGTCACCCTGGTTACTTTGTTTGCAGGCACTGTTGCAGGCAGTCAACGTTCAGCTTAAGCATCTGACAGGCTGGGATCAAAGTCAAGCAAACTGCAGCAATGAGAGAAGGCAAACCTCACGCAGGTGCAATGGAAAATGGACAGGCTGACAGCTAACACACTTGAGGACACTTTGAATGCAACGCATGCCCGTGCAATCACATGCATCGCTGCTGCCATTCGCCGCCGTTACAAGTAGCTGCTTACACACTTGTTTAACTTAATGAGTCTTCGATTACATGCTACCTCTGACGCCCCTGAGTCTCAAGTCCCTCTCCAAAGTTACATTTCAAAGACGGGCCATGACCGACCGCTCCTGTGCGCAATGCTGTGATGAATCCGATGACAAACGCCAACATGCTCAGCTGCGAGACCTCGCGCGCAAATCGTCCAAGACAAACGAAACGACGTCCGGATATCTCGGGATGCTGCTGCAAACGTGTCCGTTGTGATGTCGCACAACAACCACTTCGGACCAGACTATTGGATTGAAACTTGTTCCCCCAAAAACACAACGATAAACATCATGAGAAAGTGACGAACTGTTCTGAAGAAGGCAGTGCTTTTCACAGATGGATCTCTGGGAAAAAAGCTCGACTAGTTCGGTGATGTCCAGGGAAACGGCCTCATAGGATCGCAACCATGGCAAGCAGCGGCGCAAGGGCTCATCTCGAGAGGCGCAAAGCTGCGTGGGTCCAATCAAGACCTGGTGGACCAATGTGGCCAATTTAGTGCTTGAGAGGAAACCGCTAAAGCTCATTACAAAGTAAAAAGGATTGAACACTAAGTTGCTAGGTCATAAAATAAATGGGAACTGCTTGGTAGGATTTTAGCCAGGTAGATCGTCCAAGACTCAGGGATTCTTGTTTCACGTTGTTGCACCACCTTTCGAATCGGGCCCCTGCCTCATTGTGACCAACACAAAGAGGTACTGTCTTTCCTTCCAACTCAATCTGCCACACCCACCATGGCACTTGGCAATGGGGCCTCAGGAAGTGGTCATCGGCGGAATTCAGCCTTCGGTGTGGCTCGAGCTGGCCGTGAGCCGCACATCAATGTGATTTTCTCGCACTTTTCTCCCGAGTCAAAAGTCATCACATTAAAACCTGCCTCACACTATGATGTTCCCGAGTGGGAGATTGGAGAGCAAGCTCGAGTCAAATTTCAACGCAGCATTCTTTAGAGGACAATAGAAGCTGGAGAGTATACATCGTCCGAATCGTCCCTTATGTCCTCCAGATGTCCTCAACCTTATCCTTGGTCGATCAGGAGACTTCGGTTGCTGAGCTGCTGGCTTCCCTTCTATTTCTTCTGACTCTGCAAACCAAGTGGAGCTGCCAGCATCTTTGATTCGCAGCATAGACAGCAAATGGCTGGAAAACACAACTAGGATAGCCAAATGGTTTACAGTTTACATCTATAAACAGTATTTGCAGTTTGTCAGAGTCAAAGCATGGCATGACAACTCAAGTTGTGGCATTTTCAGAGCCGATTTAGAAGAAACCAACAAACATGTGTGAACATACAGCATCAAGGAAACACGATCCTAATGTTGTGTACTGCTTCAATCTGCGGGTTTATGATTCAAGATCAACTGTGGATTCTTTCGGATTCTCTTCGATTGTATAGCCTTTTGCGCAATGACTTTGGCTTTGAACCGACCATGCCGCTCCAATCCACTCCAACACACATACAAATGTGATCAAATGTGACCATAGAACTTCCACGATCTTCCACGACATGTTGCTCCTAGTAGCAATGCCAGGAGCCCCTAGTAGCGTCTTGTTCCTAATGCAAGATGTAAGATTCAACTCTTTGTCTGCCAGCAGTTGGCGCTGGCTTTGGATGGCTCGCATTCGCATCACTTTTCATCATCGAATCTCTTTCATTTCTCCAGTGCTTCAGAGCTTCCAAGACCGGAGAGCTTGGAATGGTAACCTCGCCAATCACTTGGCAAACATGTGGCATCCTGGTCATTCCTGGCCCCCAGGATCTAAAGGGTCAATGTTTAGTAAGTAAGTCTTGGCCTTAAGAGGTGTTTTTTGCTTCTGCGTCCGATGCTTCCAAGAAAAAAAATTAACAACCTGGTGAGAACACTATCACATTTGCAGTGACGGAGTGGTGCTGTGCAACACATCAAGTATTGTCAAAGTATTGCAGTTAGGCATTTTATTGAAGCCAGAACATATGCAACTGTTGCTGTACCATGCCGGACAAACGCATTTGAACCGTTCTTGCATCCCGCTGCATCCCTGTAGAACCGAGTGGGTAGATGTTGGCGTTTTCCAATGGCAAGGTGTGCGTTGTGCGTTGAGCTCAGCACCCGAAGTCGCAGGTCTTGGGCCTTCCGGTTTCAAACCTTGGGAACTCCACATGGAGCTGAAGAGTAATTCTCGGTCTGAAACGAAGTATAGAGGAGGTGTCTCATGAGCTGCCTCATGAGCCCTCCATGTCCCAGTCAAGAACATGTACGTGTCCCTTTGCCATGTCAATATTGGCACAAATCAAGCTTCTGGGCTCAAGACTCATGATCCTGACTTTTCCATCCGTGCCACCCAGGGCCTAGGTGTCTTGACATAAGATTCCTGGTATTGTGAAGCAAACCATCTAAAGGCTAAAATGTCCTCAAAGACATTACTTACTCTTAAACTAAACACACCCGTTTTCCTCTCGTGTGCCACAATTGACAATGGTTTGTCTTCTTCAAACATCCACCTCCAGTCAGCCAGACTCAGCAACCAGCCAGTAGGCCAGCTTGACTCGAAGCAAAGTCTGCAGACAAACATGTGTAGTCCACCTGGCATTTTTAGGCCAATTCTCTGCAGAATCTACCAAACTCTTGACTGTTGTCAAAAAGTGCTGGTGCCCACGACTGTGCCCAGGCATTTCGAGGAAGTGGCAGCAGCTCCTGCTCCCAATCAGTAAGAGCTAAGACTCTAAGACACATCATGACACATCAATACCTGCCCAATCTGGACACTGCCATGTCGAGACATGTCATGGAATTACAGCGCTGTGGCACCGTCCTCCGTATTGAAGTATCTTGGCTTCACCACCATCCTCCTTGTTGGCAAAGGATCCGCCTTGACGGGGCCGAAAACGATGATCGCCATGAAAATATCATCATAGACTCCACATGCGCCTGCTGCTATGAGGGAATTGTGTGGATCCTTTGAGAACCTGGCTGTGTACCTGTCGAAATGTGACCGTGGAGTTCACGTGGAGCCATCCCGGTGTTTACACCCAGTCCGGGGGAAATGACATTGATGTTTGATTCATTGAGGCTGAAAGTATGACACAGTATGGCACGGAAATTCTTGAAACTTTAGCAAGTTCACCGATCTTCATATCCCCCTGAAAAGCACCTCTCTCACAACTGTTCAAACATGCCAGGTTCACAAGAAGCAAGCTGGCTCCTGCAAGAAATATTACGACACATGCAAGTCCTCCTGGCACTGAACCCTAAGTCTCCTGGCTGAGAGGTTTAAGTGGGAGAGGCACTGAAGTTGCTAAAGCAGAAACAAAGCGATGCGAGGTGAAGTGTAGAAGCAAAACTTGATCTACGGCCTTGCATCCTGTTCAGGCAGGCACATTGGCACATGGTCACAGAATTCTTTCTTTCAGCCTTTGCAAAGATGAACCTTATGTCCTTATGTTGGTTCCGTCATGGTTGCTCTAGTCATGTTAGTATTCCGATGGCATCCAACATTTCATAACATTTCCCATCCAGGCCTGAGGCCCAGAAGAGCGCCAGGGGATCACCTGTGAGTCAACAACGTCGAACGTCGGAACTGGTTTCGATATGAACCTGCCCGTTCTGGGCTTACTTCTCAAAATGATACGAGTCATATTACAAGGATATTCCAACAAGTATTATGCAAAGCCAACTTACAAGCCATGGAGCCATGGAATGCATTTATGACAGTTTTGGAGTTTGCCCGAACCTTTCCCTGATCTTTTGATCTTCTCCATGCAACTCTGCTTCAAGCACATGTTATGCTACGGAATCTTTCGACTGAGGATCACCGTTTTCGTGCTCCTCAGTGGTGCTTGCCACACTTCGAGCTTTGCTCCGCATGGACCTCTGTGCTATCGAACTCGTACTCTTGAACCGGGAGTCCATCTCTCTGAGTGGGTGTGCCGGGTCATTGACTTTCAACCAAGGAGTTTCATCCGGTGGCCGTGGTGCTGGATGTCGCTTTCCATCCAGCCAGGGCGAATCTCCAGCCACCGTCCAAATTGGAAGTGGTGTGTCCTCGCCAAAGAGCGGCAAACGAATCCCATCCGGAAAGCTATCACCAATGCATTTGGCAGGACGAAGGCCTGCTGGAATAGAAGAGACCATCGTACCACTGAAGGAAGTGGCGTCTGGATTGCGCTCTTTTTGCTTCTGCTTCATCCATCTTCGCCAGCGGCTTTCATGCTCCTCGCGAGTGCGGCGCTGTCTGCGCAACTCTCTGGCAGCGGCAGTGGGGTCGACGATGTCAGGCTTCTGGAAACATTCCTTCCAAGTGTCCAGTGGCTCTCGTACAACTGTCCGTATCGCGGTAGCCTCCTGTTGGCGGATGCTCCTGCGTCCTTGGAGTATAGGCCATGTATACTCCGGCGACGGGAGAACTCCGGGAAAAGCTTCAGCATAGGTGGTACCCTTTGGCCCTCTCCGCACAGGTGGCATGACTTCTTCCTCCTGAGCGAAAATGCCTCCAGGAGCAATTAAGCTCGCCACCTGATCAGCTTGGGGTTTCTTTCGATCCTCTGATGCCGTGGAGGCCATGACCATATTCCCGTAGCGACTCAAAGCCATGGCAAGCCGCAATGGCAAGTGGCAAGATGCTGCAAGACTACCATGCAGGGTCAAATCCAAACGGCACCTTGCACCAAGGAAGTTAAGTCTAGAAACTGTTTGTCACACTACCCTTGGTTGTAAGTCATATCATAAATATCGATGGTCAATGATTGTCACGCGTCGTGAACCAACAAACCATTGGACTCGAGCATATGGAGCCGCAAAAAACCATTTGCCTTGCAACATCAACAATTCAATCGGACAGAATGTTTGGCAAGAATGTTCCTACGTCCGGAACTGTGGCCTTGATTCTCTGCTCCTGTGCAAGGTCCCAAAGCTCCAACGGATTCTGGCGACAAGAGCCATGAATGAACATGTCCGTGTACAGCTTGACAGGGATCACTTCTCTTCCATTCTTCTTCCCATTCCTTCCCTCTCTGCTGAAAAGCCTCAAACCTACTAGCGGCGGCCTCCAACCTAAGAGCGATGCCCCCCAACCTTCTCTCAAAGTGAAGGACGGTGAGTTTAAGTATGTCTTAACGACTCACAAGGCTTGTGTCAGTTCTACAGTACAGGTCCAAGTCCGTCCACACTGAAGTGTGACATACAGGAGACAATGCCTCCTGCCTTTTTTCTGTGTTTGATGCTGGTCTCTGACAAACACCCTTGGAGTCAATTAAGATGCGGAGGATGCCTGATCTCTGTAGCTGCCGGTTAACAAATGCCGGCCATCCGAAGAGACGTCCTCAAATCAGCAAATAAAGATTTGACTCCGAGAATGCGAGATCTGGACTTCCTCTGAGTGCACGACCAAGGAATCTCCGCAGATGTGGGGTCCGAGAATTGCTTTCACTGCATGGCCTATGGTCAGAGCGGAAAGCAAGACCTGGTCTGTGATCTTAGACTTCTTGGACTTCTGTATTTGCCTTCTTGGCTAAAGCGAACACAAACTAACAAGGCTTCTTTCAAGAAAACCGCGACGACTGAGAGCACCAGTGGGACTTTGAGAGCCACGGCAACAAACTGACCGTCATCCATATCTCTACCCCCAACCCACATGTCAACGCCAAGTGTTTGGCAGGAAAACTGGCCAACTCCTTGAGTTTGGCGCTTTTTCGGCTGTTTTGACCCGAACACCACACTCTCCTGCAAGGTACCAAGACCTCCCGTGGGTCCTGACTCATCACTGTGACCTTGTGGGATTCAGGATTGGGGCCCAGGCCAGCGCGCAAATCCCAATACTGAACCTGACAGTGACAAAGCACCGGGTGCAAATCCCCCAAAAAGCCCAGACTAAAACAACTCCCTGGATCGGCAAAATCTTGTGGAAAGCAGTTGAGAAGCTTTGCCCGAGGCAATGTATATATATATATAGTTAATTTATGCCCTGTCAGATTTGTCAACTAGACATGAATAAACATGGCAAAAACCTGAGTCACGAGTCAGTGCTAGTGCTATCTCTCGAGGCAGTACAACAAAAACTGGAAACAAACTCACGTGAGGTGAGGTTGTCACCTCATTCACTTCATTCATACGGTTCAGCTCTTCAGCTATTCTGCTCAACTCTCCAAGGACATGGCAGAGTTGTCCCAGCCACCGCTGACCAGCGCCCATGGCCTCAAAAAGAAAAGACCGGTCCGAACAGCTATTTGAGACTGTTTGAGACGAAAAAACACATGCTTTTCTGTTGAAAAAGCATCATTCTTCAGACTTTAAGGAGACCAAGGTGACCAACTGATATCAAACGGTCCTAAGCTGTAGTGTGCCCTAAGCTGTGTGCTCATGTGTGCTCTATCTTTTCGAGGAACAGTTTTCACCGATGTATGGACCAATTTCAGCGATTTTGCACCCGTGAAGTCCCGGCGCATCAGCTGGCAGGAAACGCACCGCTTGAACACCTGGATTTTCAGCGCTGCAGGGGGAAAGGATGATATGCAAATGCAAAGGATGACTCCAAATGTCCGAGAAGGAATGAACAGGAAGCAATGGAAGCAACAGGAAATCACATGAAATCACTCATGGGTACATGTGCTGCGCCGATGGGCGTATATCAACGCAAACGGAGGTCTTTCAAAAGTTTCCAAGTTATAGAATTAGTTCAAGAGCCGAACGTTTGTGTTGCTGCCACCGTCGGTCTTGAACCAACAAGCCAGCCGGGCGATTGGAATGCCCTGCAGTTGTCTCATAATTGCCACCCTGCACGGCACTGCACAGCTGCTGGGCGATCTGACTTGATGCATGAGCATGTCACCTAGTGATAGCTGGCCTTACTACTAGGAGCAAGGACGCTACTAGGAGCAAAGGGCATCGCTATTCGGGGCTCCTGGCATCGCTACTAGGAGCAAGGACGCTACTAGGAGCTCCGGATTACTTCAGTCACCGCTGCCTCGAGCTGGATCGTTTGCTTCTTGGTCTCCTCGCACGTTCATCTAATCTGCGAGTCTTTCACGCTACACTGCTCTAGAACTACCACAGCGGTTTTAACTGGATGCAAAGCTCCGATAAATATCGATAAATTACATTTCTTCTTGACACACATGTTTTGGTATTTTTGATAGGCATCCCCCCAAGAAGCACCTCGTCAATCACAAAGATTGCCTTCAACAAAAGAAGTCATACACTGAATATCACTGAATACACAACATCAATACAAGCAGTCTTACAATGGAACATATTCCCAGCAAGCTGATTCATGCCTCAACGTTGAGGAAGCGTTGATGTTCGCTTGACTGTTCATTCCGGCTAGACATGTCTTTGCATTCGTTGAAGCAGTCAAGGTGTGGATCTTGGCCTTCAAGCCACCTGTGGCCATCATTTTGCCATCACTACTATAGTCTACCTCAGATTTGCAGAAAGAAACAACAAGCAGAAAATGATGGAACCAGATCGGAATTCTCCGTGTGCATCTACAAAGCAAAGCTCAGGTCTCAGGTCATGGCACAGAACAATTGTTCAGTTTCAGATCCTGCACCAAATTCCTGCGAGTCGATCAACTTGAGTATATAACTTGAGTCATTTGTCTTGAGTTTTACTGCGAAGCACCTTGTTACTAGTAGCTTCATGCTACTAGTAGCAAGGCACCTTGCTAGCATCCTTGCTACTGCCCTTAATGATGAAAGAACAGCCTCCAGGCATTTGCCGCTGGTCACGTGCCATTGACGTACTTTTCCATCCTGGCATCGCAAGCTAAGGATACCTTTGAGCTCAATAGTACGCCAAAAATGGATCAAGTCAAAAATTAAGAATCAAATCACATCCAAGAGTGCAAATCATAGATGAACCAGGATAGCTTCGTGATGCTTTGTGCTTGATTGCCAACACATGTCTTGAGCCCACAGTGACTCGCGCTGTGCTGAGTCTGCCCGTCACGTTTCCCAATGACGCGGCGGCATGGCAGTACTGACGCCAACGAGGACACCACGCGTGCGCAAGGAGGCCGAAGCCGATTCGGGCCGCCAGCAAACCTGGGAAGGCAGGTGGAAACCCAGGACCCAAAGCATTCTTGGCGATGGCTCAAAGCTCAGAACACCTGGGACATGCTTTCATTTTCACGGATGATTTCCTTAACTGCTCTGCTTGGTTTCGACTTACATACCTCTCCTGACCCACCGGCTTTCTGCTTGAATTCCCCTGTCCAAGGATTCATTTGGACCCTGTGGCCAGGTGGCTAGTCACTGGTCCCAAGATTCTGGTTGACCACCGAAAAGGAACAGAAAAGAGACAACAAACATTTAATATATATACATAACTAATCGCAAAATTGAGTGGTGCCCGCATTTGGTCGTAGACCCATAGCCCCATCAAATGTCTTGAGATCATTGCTTGAAACATGCTTGAGTTGTACATGTCACATCTGCTTTCGAATATCGGAGCTACTGCCGAAAGGATCTGAGGCCCCAGCTTGTTTCACTGTGTGGCTTCCAGCCCGATTCAACCTCAGTCATGGACAATGCGCTGGAGACATAGAACAGGTATCGTGTACTCTGGCAAAAGCAAGTCCAAGTTGCCAACCTGTAAGCCTCCTTGGCTGTGGAGACGTTGAATACACTGACCTCAACCCACAGGAATAAGATCAGAATGCCTGGGACTTAAACACTCTGCTGAGTCATTACATGATGTTTTCACGTCAATGTGCTGCTCCAGTGGTCAGCTTGAATGCGCCAATAGCACCTCCAACTTTTGGATTTAATGCCATAGCTGCCATAGCCACGTTCTTGGCCCATGACAGTGCCATGACCACCAGCTGCCGCCAAAAAACTATTGTCTGGGTTGAAGCGCACCGAAAAAGCCTGGTGTCACAACGAATTCGTTCTCAGGAACCGGGGAACGGTCCGTGATCTGACTTTATCCTAGAGAGAGGGTTTTGTTGGGGGTGGGATTTTAAGAAAACCTTTAAGAACGCAACACAAAAACTATATACAAAACATTCAAATTAAAAGAGACACGCACTCCCTAGAAGCAAATTAGATTTGCGTAAAAACCAAAATTAGATTAGACGTAGAAAATTGCATAGAAAATAGGTTGAAAACACGTAGAAATCAAATAGAACTAATTGGCGTTGAGTTCCAATTAGAACAACCAATACTATATTACATACGGAACTTACTCAACATCCAAAATGACCTAATTCTAATTCAATTCTAATTGAGTTCGCTTTCAAACCTACTTCATTCTACTCTAATTAGATGTTATATAATTCTATTTCAACTATCATTCAATTGAATTTCAATTTTGGGTAGCTTACATATAAACGCCTTTTTAATTGGAATTCGATACGATTTTAATGACCTCAATACGAATATATGTCTATTTAACTTTTACTTCTTTTACACATATATATATACATTGTCTATGCAGTTTATGTTTAAACCTAATGTCACTCTGTTTTTCTAATCTAATTTTGGTTATTACGCAAGTCTATATAATTTGCTTCTAGAGAGTGCGTGTTGTTTTTAAGATGAATGTTTTGTATATAATTCTTGCGTCGCTGTCTTAAAGGTTGTTTTGTTTTTTCGCGAAAGGCTCGGTTCACAGGGATACAAGGTTACATTGGTCCCAAGAACATGAACCATCTAAAGCGCCAAACACAATGTAAAGGGCAGGTGGAGGATGAATGAACGCAACATTATTGGCAGGGAAACCTCTTCCTACTAGTTAAAACACATAGAATGTCCTTTGCCTCCAGAGCGCTATGTCCCCCAAATGCTCGTTTTCAGACCTTCCGATTGCAACCCAACAAAGCAAACAAGCATCAAACATCTGATGGTTGGTCTGAAACTTGCATATCAGCGCAACAAACCCAATCCGCGAACGTTTCGTGAATGAACCCATGCCTGACTCTGTTATATAATCCCAGCAACACAAGAAACAACCTTTGTCCGCACCCGCCCCCGTGACAACTGACTTTTCTCGCCCCAAGGTCCAGAGTCCCGAGATTTTCGGCTTCACCGAACGCACTAGTCAGCGCGGCGCTTCGACGGGAAGTGTTCCTCAGAACTCTTGCCGTTGGAAAGCTTCGCAGACAAAATGCCCTAGCAAGGCTTTGGTGACCGGTTAGTGTTGCCATCCTCTTGCGCGCAACTGTACTTGTTCCACAAGTCACGAAGGCATTCGCTGGACGAAGTGCCAGGTCTCACCTTCATCTTCATCAGGGCGTGATAAACTATGATTGAAAGTTCCATATCCAGTGAAGCCACAAACACTAGAACAAAGCAACTTTCCGAAGGCTCTGACTCTGACTGCTGACTCTGACAGAACGCAAAACACATGGGGGGTACGCTGAGGGTAGACCATGTTGGTCCCCATCTGGAATAATTAATCTATTATTCTGGTGTCGTCCGACCTACCTACCCATCTTGGAATATTCATGTCCCAAAATGTTGGAATAATTGTTTGCATTTCTTGATAAAAAAAAGATGCAAATTGAGCATTGAAAATGGCATGCCGAATCTGACGGCCACATTTTTTCCCTTCCATCTTCAAAGCTCCAAGTCTGTTGAACATGCATTTTGGGGAGCATAGGAACACCAGTCCTTTTTGGGCTGTATGAACCGTGACTCAACCCAACACCCTGAATTTGAACCACCGCTCAAAAGCTCATCAGCGGTACCCCTACCAGAAGCTGGTGCTCAAACGGTCTCTTCCAAATTTGCATCACTGACAACCGGTGAAAACAAAACCTGAAGTAAAAACCTGAAGCATGAAGTATCCAAGAGTATCGCAAACATTTGGCAGACAGTGGAGTTTTTGCAAAATCATATGTTCCTGAAACCTGTGGTCGATCAGTGACATAGAGCAAGTCTGAGAGAGCTATGATTGTAAAGTTCTCTGTTCAAATTCTACACGGATGAATACTTCCGCGCGGCCGGTGAACGTTCAGAAATTCCAATCACAGATGTACGCTGGCGGATCAGGTGGTCACGGCAAGCGGATCGGGACTCTCATAGTACACCTTCTCCAACCAACGTGGGAATTTGCTGGGATTGTCACTTGGCAATGGGCTGATGCTCTGGAGTTCTCGCAATACCAACTCACCAAACCTGGGTAAGAGAACATGACACTGGTTTAAGTGGAAACTTGAGCGTGACCTTAAAAAAAACCTATAAAAAGCTCTTCAAACAAGTTGTTTTCCGGACACACAATTATTCCAGGGTGGGTAGGTAGTTGACATGGGTGTGAATAAATTTACTCTATATCAAAAATCATACATGTATGTACCTACGTATACTAATTGCACAGTGCCTGTAATTATTCATTGCGTCCACAGATGGGAAACACATCAGAATAATATACAAAACTCTGTGTAGAAAAGCCAAGACGCGACAAGGAACGCATTTCCTGAGACAGACTCTTGTAATGAGTGTGGCTTTTGGAATAGCGATTGAAATACCCAGGAACCCGGCACTGCATCTCAGTCAAGGAGACTGATAGTTTTTTGCTCACTTTCACCACGCCAGTCTTGTTGTCAAGAATGGGCCGAAAAAGAGCTTGGTAGTCCTTGATCATGGAATTCAAGTAGGTCAAGATGTTCGCTCGTCCAGTTGCACTCTTGGTAAAATCTTCGGGCGCAAAGAAAAGCTTCTCAGGCTTCTCACTTTTCTTGAGTGGATCCAGTGACACTGGCTCCACTGATGCCTTCTTCCAGGCCTTGATGGCAACGCGGAAGACCTTGATGGTCATGTTGCTTGAGCAGGTATTCACTATCGAAAATGCTGCTTTGGGGATCTCGAACAACACTGAGGAGCTTTGCGCGTCCAGGATGAAGCTTGGTGAACAGCTCGAAACAGTGAATAGCTCGTCCTTCCCATCTGACTGCAGAGGCATCAACAGCTTCACTCTCAGCCTTGCCGCAAGGTTGGCAGGAACAGGTCCCTTGGGCCACACATAGGTTGCTTTTCCACGGCCACCTTTCCAGACTGCGTCCACCATGGCAAACCGCAGCGAGCCAGGCGCTCCGCCTGCAGAAAATGGCCGAACAACGAGTAGTTGTACTTCACGCTGGTCATCGACACCCATGGAAGAATGTGGCCTGTGAACGGAATCCACCGATTATAGAATCAAAATGAATCAAATAATATCAAATAGATACAAACAAACAATAACATACAAAAACGATATTATAATTCCCCGTTTGTTGTACGCTCCCGGGAAAACGATGTGAAAAAGCTGCCCATGAAACAAAGCTAGACAAAGAAAACACACCAAATGTGAAGCCTAAACTTCACTGGCTGCATCGCTCCAGGGGTGGTGCCATCCTCCTCTTCCGTGCATAGCGCTTCAATCTTCTCCACATACTGCCTCCACAGGCCATGCCGAGTCTGCTTCTCAGCGCTGCAGTGAAATTCAGCACGTGCCTCTGCAAGCAAATGCTCGGCCAGATTGTTTCTCCGGAAGGTCTGTGTGACGCCGCCATGAACCTGCGCTCTGGTGGTCAGTCCTCTTGGACAATGTTTCGATCTCCTCCTGCAATGCAACATCTGTCTCTGTTGACAGAACGGCTTGCTTGAAGAGGTCGTCCCCATCCTGTTCCTGGTCAGGGAATTCTACTGGAACATATAATATTGGATTTGCATAAGGATGCATAATATATCACAATATATCATAATATATAGTTGGACTTCAGTCTTTCCCTTAAATATTCCAGGGTCACTGACATGTAACATGATCAAGAATAATTCTTCCAGTGGTTGGTCGCCTACAATTTAATTTGTGTCACGTATCTCCACCAATTTATTCCACTGTGGCTGACATCCTACAGCGCGAGGAATAATTTTCATGGCTCCCCTCCAACCCAGACGCGCCTTGTCATCACCATCTGTGATGGGCTCCCCGTCTTCATCCTCATCTTCATCCATGGTCTCCAATGTCTTGACAAGGAGGCACTGCACGCCACTCTCTTCCCACCACTCTGTCAACTCTTGACGAACCTCAGCCGGAGAGACGCCAACCTGACAAGCTGCGGCAAAGGTACATGCCAAATTCAGGCTGTCTTCCGCTATGT